TCTTAGTAAAGTATCACAAGAATGGAAAAATCAAGTATCCAATGCACTCAACACTAATATGAAGCCAGTAGATGAACTAATACATGCCCACATAACACAGAAGAAAAACACATTGGGGGGGGGTAGAGGAGTGAGGGGGCAGAGAGAAAGAGGGAGGGGGATTGGTGTGTGTAGCAGACCGTATAACTCACAGGACTGGAGAAGTGAGAGTTAAGGTTTGAACACTCTGTAACTACGAGAAACACCTGTAACAGCTCAGTACTATAATACCTTGGTGATAAGGGCATAGGCAAGGGATTCGGCTCTCATTAACAGGAGAGCACGCAAGATGAGAACATCAGTTCTGGGCAGTCTCTACACCTGTGGTGTAAATAGCCACGGGATCATGGCTATAAGTAACTGCAGGAGAGGTTAATCTGGGGTCATTCATTCTCACTCTTTTTTTTTTTTTTTTTGCAGTTTTTTTTTTTTTTTGGCTGGGGCTGGGTTTGAGCCCACCACCTCCAGCATATGGGGCCAGTGCCCTACTCCTTTGAGCCACAGGCGCCGCCCCATTCTCACTCTTTCATGGACTCGCTCACTCTAACTCTTTTGCTCCTGCTCAGAGGACGCTTGCTCAGCACCCTTCCACAAAGATTGCTAAGATTCACTCTCCTGCTAAGACTGTTTCTCTCCCTTGAAGACTGTCTCTCTCTCTCTCTCTCTCCTGCTAAGACAAATTGTACCCCTGGCACCTAAGGGGAGTTAATCCCAAGCAAGATAGCACAGCACTATGCATCTGGACAATTAGATAGGCTGGGGCCGGCAACCTGGCCAGTCTTGGGCCCCGACAGGTGTACTCCCACTTAATGGGCACAATGTAAGGGTATATGGCTCACCTCTTGGGTGCAGGACCCAACTACAACAGGTACTCTACCTAACAGAGGCAAACACTAACCTAATGGTACTTTCACGTTAGTCTGAAATTTAAAAAAGAAATGAAGAATTTCTTGTGATCACCTAGCTTTCTTTTTTGCTACCAGCCTGAGTTTTTGACTCTTACAAACATCTTTCAGCATTTTAAAAAACAAAAAAACACTTTAAAGTAGCTTTTCATCACTTGCAATGTTATTCATATTTATTCATATTTAACAAAATACAAAGAATGAACTTCCTGGGGCTGAATATACTACATATGTAAAAAAAAACCCACTCAAATCTGTTCATGCCCCTAGACCTAACCTCCAGTATACGGAAAATACAGAAAGAGGAGGACACGATCAGATAATCTGCATGTGCGACGTTCCACAAAGCAACTGACATATATCTTAAAAAACAAACAAAAAAAACTCCAAAAGCTATAAAATGCATTTTGGGAAAAGTGGAGAAATTTGAATATGGCCTGAATATTAGATAATATTATGGAATTATGGCAAATTTTCTTAGAGATGGTAATGATGTCATGGTGATGTAGGATTCCACATTCTTAGATGAAGGCTAAAAGACGATGAGTGAAATCTCATGTCTTCCACTTACTTGCAAGTATCTGGTAAAAAATAAAATGTGATCTGTATGTAAAGAGCAAAATACACATGGCAGCAGATTTATCATTGCAGTCTCTAAGGTAGAGGATACAGGGCTATTCATTATACTAGTCTTTCAATTTCTCTCTGTGGGTGAAATTTTCCATAATGAAAAGTTATGGACAAAGGGAGTCAAGACCAAGCCATGCATGTATCACTCCAAGAAGAACTCTAAAAAGGCACTAGAACAAACAGCTTTAGAGGATGGCAACAATTATCACACATCTTTAGAGTATGCCATGGATATGACCATGAAAGCATTTATAAATATATAAGTTTTGTCATACCTTTACTAGGCATTCTTTCCATTGAGAAGATGGATAAAGTACTTGTATTTTCCAATGTAAATCATCAATCTTACCCAGAATCCATGCAGACTGGTCATTCAGTCTACAAACGGCCTCTGTGAACTCAACGACCAGGCCCTCTGAGTTGCTAGCTTCATGCATCACAGGACATTCTGGGAGGAGGAAGAAGATTCCTAAGGCTTCTTGGTGTGGAGAATAAAAGGTAAGGTTTTTGAGCAGATTATCCCTGAGACAGGTGGTTACCTGTGGTCAGAAAGGATCAGGGAAAAGGCATTCAAAACTCAGCAGGAACAGATGGTGGAACAGGGTATAACAGATGGTAAGAAAACAAGGTGCAGAACCCGGAATTTCATTCCACCACTAAGTTAGCATAATTGTTTAGTTTTTCTGAAATCCATGTTTACATCTCATCTAATCTAGCCTCCCAAATGTGGGAGGCATTTGTGACAAACATTCTTCCCATTCAATTGTTAGGGTGTATGAACGAGACTGAGAAATCCTAGGAGAAGGGTTATACTGGATGAACAACGGTCTCAGATCTAAGAGGCAGTTCCCCCACTACTACTGCACTTCACCCTCTGTTTCACACTATCCCCAAACCTCCCAGCCCACTCCAAACCCTTCACAACTGTCACAGTACTCTCAAGCCAGTTTCACTGTTTCATACACTATGCCTTGGTTTACACATTTCTGGCTGCCTGGAATGCCCTTACCTATATAGGCACCTGGTAAACTCCGAATTCCTCCAGGTAGCTTGTTTTGAGTACTCTAAGTATATAGTTGACCATTTACTGCACTAGTAACTGAATGCGTCCAAAAATATTTATGGTATACTGACTACATTCTAAGATAGGCCGCAGGGAAGACAGTGGAATATAAAATACACCCAGTCTTTGCACTAAAGTACACATGTATTTGTCTCTTTCATTAAACCATGCGCTTCTAAAGGACAGAGATCATGTGTCTTTTATTTTTCATCAAGAGTCGTCATTATGTGCCCAACACACAGCAAGCATTGAAATGTTTGTCTGAGACCATATCACAGAATCTCAAGATAGAAACATTCTAGATCTCCTAATCCAGCTAATCCTTTCTGAAGCGACAGAGGTGAAAAATGCCCTGTGATTATGTCACTTATACATTCTGTTATTTTTCTGGTACAATCAAGGCATAATTAGCAAGCAGGGAAAGCCCTCTGTGATGAACCGAAGCAATCCCTTCCCTTCACAGGTGCAGAAATGGCCTTCTAGTTTGCGTTATCTTTCTGTGGCTACACTCAGTAGCAATGAATCAGAATCTTATGGAAAGAAAGTTAAACGGCCCCCAATAGGAAGATTTTAAATAATGAAAGAAAATTATCAAGAACAAATGTTGATACAATAGTCCACCAAAGTTCAGCGCCTGTAGCTCAGTGGCTAGGGGGCCAGCCACATACCCGAGTTGGCAGGTTCAAATCCTGCCCAGGCCTGCCAGACAACTACAGCCAAAAAAAAAATATATATATAGCCGGGTGTTGTGGTGGGCACCTGTAGTCCCAGCACTTGGGAGGCTAAGGCAAAAGAATCATTTAAGCCCAAGAGTTTAACATTGCTGTGAGCTGTGACGCCATGGCACTCTACCCAGGAGCAACATAGTGAGACTATGTCTCAGAAAAAAATAGTCCACCAAGTAGTTCTTGGGTTAATGTTAGTTCTGCAAGACTAAGAGCTGCAGAGTCTTGATGATTCTGCAGGTAAAGCAGGGATCCACTTTACCCCAGAACCCTCCTGGGGCCGTGGTTCTGCCAAAGTGAACAGAATTAAACTTTCCTTCTTCCCTTGAAAGAAAGGAGTGAGAGAAAACTTGCCGCTAAAATAGAATGAAACAGGTGTGAGAGGGCAAGAGATGGGAGCAAGACTGAGAGAGAAAGAGAAGTGAGATACAGAAACAAAGGGAGAAACCAAATAAGGGCGGGAGGAGGAGGAGGAAAGAGAGAGAAAAAAAGAAGGAATTGCAGTGAGACCGAGGAGGAGAAGATGGAGAGCGCTCAGGGAGTACTATCTCTAGATCGACCAGCGCAAGAAAACAGAAAAATAAATTAAGAAAGGCAATTTCTTTAATAAAGAAAGTATGCCCAGAGCATCTGCAAGTGAAAATCCTAAAACAGAAGGGGTGCTGAAACAGGAAGCAACAGTTCCAGAAAAAAAAAGAACATTCTAGAACCCATGGAAAAGAAAGTCCTATGGAAGACAACAGAGAGGAAGAATCCAAGCAGTCCTTGGAGAGGGGGATATTCAGAAAAAGTGTCCTCATTTCTATATTTATGCTTGAAAGAACTGCACATAAATTGTATATAAAACCAGCATATTGTACCCCATAAATGCATTAATGAACACAGCTATGATTTAATTAAAAAAAAAAAAAGAACTGCACATAAAATGTTCTGATTCCAGTGTGCCAATCTCAACAAATCCTTAACCATCTTCCTAAAGCCTTATGTTGAATTAATTCCCTCTAGGAATGTGTATGCATGTTTGTGTATGTGTGTTTGCTTACAGTTGTGTAATTTATTTATTTATTTATTTATTTTGAGACAGAGCCTCAAGCTGTCCCCCTGGGTAGAGTGCTGTGGCATTACAGCTCACAGCAACCTCCAACTCCTGGGCTCAAGTGAGTCTCCTGCCTCCACTTCCCAAGCAGCTGGGACCACAGGCGCCCGCCACAACGCCCGGCCATTTTTTGGTTGCAGCCGTCATTGTTGTTTGGCGGGTTCGGGCTGGGGATTCGAACCCGCCACCTTAGGTGTACGTGGCTGGCACCTTAGCCGGTTGAGCCACAGGCGCCGAGCCCAGTTGTGTAATTTAAATGATTTTTAACTTATGTGACTATTAGGCAACTATTTCACTCTAACTGTGCAAACTCTTGAATGCTACCTTAGTTTTACTTAATCTAGATATGCTACAAGACCTCAGAGATTCTCTTAAAGCAAAATATTTCATTCTTCAAACAGCAAACAGAAAAAAAATTAAAAAACAAAGTATTTCTTCCAAAATGTTACATTCTTATAAAAAATATTCTAGTGTTATTTTCTTTTTCTAAATAACAATCTGAAGAATACCACCATGTCACTAATCCAGTCCTTTTGGGTTAACTTCTTAAAGATGTCTCTTGCTTTATTTAAATCCAAATGAACAGACATCATTTCTGCAGTGCTTCTGTAAAAGGAAGATAAATGAATAAATAGGTAAGTAAATGAAAATAATTATTAGATTATCTATCTAGTTCCAAAGTTTCTTCTACAGTTTGCCTCATTTCAATAAAATTAACTTTTTTCTCAACTGTGTCATAACCTGAGTGAATACATACACAATTGAAAATGTGGTAGACGATTTATAACCATTTCTAAAATGCCAAAACCATCAAGACTACATTAACTATATATAACATAGGCCTTTTTTAAAAACTCCATTTTAACTCCTTTTTTTTTTTTTTTTTTGAGACAGAGTCTCGGTCTGTTGCCTAGGCTAGAATGCTGTGGTGTCAGCCCAGTTCACAGCAACCTTTAATTCCTGGGTCCAAGCAATCCTCTTGCCTCAGAGTAGCTGGGACTTATAGGTGTGCCCAACTAATTTTTCTTTTCTTTTCTTTTCTTTTCTTTTTTTTTTTGAGGCAGAATCTCACTTTGTGTCCCTGAGTAGAGTGCTGTGGCATCACAGCTCACAGCAACCTCAAACTCTTGAACTCAAATGATTCTCTTGACTCAGTTTCCCAAATAGCTGGGATTACAGGTGCCTGCCACAATGTCCAGCTATTTTTAGAGACAGGGGTCTCCCTCTGGCACTGGCTCAGGCTAGTCTCAAACTTGTGAGCTCAGGCAATCCACCTGCCTCAGGCTCCCAAGTGCCAGGATTACAGGCGTGAGCCACCAGACCCAGCTAATTTTTCTATTTTCAGTAGAGATAGGGTCTCCCACTTGTGCAGGCTGGTCTTGAACTTCTGAGGTCAAGGGATCCTCCCACCTCAGCCTCCCAGAGTGTTAGGATTACAGACGTGAGCCGCCGCACCTTAGTCTAATTTAGAACAGATAATAAATATTTATTTCCCAATTTTAAAAAATAGCCACAAAAAGATGTAAGTTTTTCTTATTTCTAAAAAATTATGATACTGAAAAGTAGACCAAAGAAGGGCTTCAGAGCAGTAAATTCTTAGTACCTCAACAGAAAATTATTAATGAAATGTACCCTAATCCATGAATCACATTTATGTTGAACTGAATAGATAGAAACTGAATGTCTAGAAACAGACATATTCTTTGTAAAATAATACATACATTTAGTGTCTAAAAATAGAAAAAAATTAAGAAAATAAATATAATATTATACAATGTTCAGGGGTGAAAAGTACAAAGTTTTTCTTTCCTAATATTTAACAATTAAAAAAATATTCTTGATGGAGTTGAAACATATTCTTCTTAGTAAAGTATCACAAGAATGGAAACTCAAGTATCCAATATACACAATTTTATCATGAGGCCAGTAGACAATCAATCTAACACATGGCCACATAGGAGAAAAACATAATTCTATTTAGGCTGGGAGGAGGGGGGCTGAGGGAGGAGAGTGGAGAGGGTGGATTGGGGTGTTCCCACTTAAAGGGCACAAGGTGGGGGTGTATGGCACACCTTTTGGGTACAGGACACAACTACAAGAGGGATTCTACCTAACAAATTCAAAAATTGTGACCTGGTTATTTGTATCCTCGTAATAACCTGAAGTTAATTTTAAAAAGCTCTAATTCCAGCCACATACACCTAAGGTGGCGGGTTCGAATCCAACCTGGGCCCGCCAAACAACAATAATGGCTGCAACCAAAAAATAGCCGGGCGTTGTGGCGGGCCCCTGTGGTCTCAGCTACTTGGGAGGCTGAGGCAGGAGACTCGCTTGAACCCAGGAGTTGGAGGTTGCTGTGAGCAGTGAAGCCATGGCACTCTACCCAGAAGGACAGCTTGAGGCTCTGTCTCAAATAAAAAAAAAAGCTGTAATTATCTAGTAATAAAGAAATCATTAAATAAATTAAGGCCTCACTTTCTCCTGGATTATCATGCAGCCTTAAAAACAGTGTTACAGACAAACATTGAATGTGGAAATTAAATAAAATGAAAAACAGATAAACATGAATAAAAAAAGTATAAGACAGTGTGATTTCATTCTTTGTTTTTTTTTTTT